TTAGGGGTTTAGGGCTTAGGGATCTTAGCAAAGGGACCTCCAAGCCACAGGTCTACGGCAAGCAGAGACGGTGGCAGATGGCAGGCATCTAGGAACAATGGCTCTGGGTGTTTAGGCTTTAGGGTGAATGACGCTTCTTGCAGGTTCTGATGGTGGAGGATGGGGTAGGCTTGGGTTTTTGTTCCGGTTCGTTAGGTGTGGTGATTTGTCCGCATTCTGGTAAGGAGAGAACAATAGTTTGATAGAAACAGCATGCATGGTTTGCTTGCAGGTTGTTGGTGTTCTCTCACCAATAAACATGAAAGACACCCTTGTGAGACAAACATGCAGGGTGTGTGCACAGCTGTGCTTTGAGTATAACCTAGTCACCAATGCAAAGTGTTGGAGAACCTTTCCCTGTTGCATCACTATCCTCGACAATAGCCCAACACCGCAGACTGCAATAAGCGCATGTTCAGATCATGTATGTGATTATTGTTACCAGTACTAATTATAGTTCATATTATGAGTGTTAGTATTACTATTACCAGTGTCTGTTACCTTGCTGTAGATATTGCTATCACTATTACCCCCCCAACGTATTCAGCACCATGGTGCCATTACCGTTATTACAGCTGCTAGTAGGATTCGTGCCCACTCGGTGCCGGAGCATGTGTTGGAAGCCACAGGTCGAAACATCTTTTTTCAGACCAGTTTATTGCGCGTTCATTCAAGTAGGATGTGCGCGCAGACGGCACATGGACCCAACACTGGATTAGTGAAGGCTAAATAAACCCCCATAATACCAAGCCCATACCATAGGAACACTCTTTGAAGGTACTAATGGGACCCAATCATAGAATTTTAAGCGCCGACGATAGGCAAAACCTTTGAGGGTATTCAAGGGACTCACTCCTTACAATGCTAAGCCCATATTATGAGCAACATCTCCAAAGGTAGTATCAGTGCTCACCCATTGAGCACTAAGCCCATACTATGAGAAAACAACTTTGAAGGTAATTGGCAAAGGGGCCAACACATATAGCACGAAGCCCGTTTGATGAGCAAATCTTTGACGTTGGTAAAGGAGCCCATCCACATAATGCAATTCCCATTTGATGATCAAGTCTTTGAGGGTAGTAGGGGAGCACCCAAATAACATCTGTTTGATACTACGCACAAGATCTTTGAGGGCGGTAAAGGTACTCACCCACGCAATACTAAGCCTTTTTGATGAGTAACCTTTGATGGAAGTAAGGGCACCCACCCGTGGACATGGTGCTTTTGGCATGGATGCTCTTGTAACTGCACGCACGTGCAACGCGAACATTAATGAGGTTTGAGCATAGTAATTTTGCGCACGTGGAGCATGAACATCGTTATAGTTTGGGCAAGGATGCTTTAGTACCTGTATGCCCTTGGAACACAAACGCAGTGATGGTTTGGCATGCCTTGAGAATTAGAATGGATGCGGTGGTTACTGTATGCACTTGGAACACGAACG